TCAGAAGATACAAGAAGAATATTTTCTGGCTTCAGGTCAGTGTGGATTAAGCGTGAATCATGCATATCTGCCAGATATATTAAAAGCATGGAAAGATGTTAAAAACAAGAGCCAGAATAAACAACCGAACACTAAGCCTGAACAAACAAAACAGGCCAAGAAACAGAACAGTGTGAGTGTTTAGAAGATGAGATATGATGAAATAGGAGGCAAGAACAATCCACACACATGCTACAGATTCCAAAAGCTGACGTCCAAATTCCCGAACAAGATCCACAGGAAATGGGCAGTATTTATTTCCCTTTGGAAAATCAAATAAACTTGGTCCAAGCCTCTCAAATACCTGATAACACCATTAAAAAGCATCCACAGGAAGGTTTTTGTTTAGTCTCAATTAACATGAATGAAGTCCCCGAAGACAAAACAAAATAAAGGTATTAGAACACATTCAATGATCCGTCCGAAACTTTGAATTTCAACTAATTCACCTATAAAGGATCACCACAAGCACAATTAATTCTAAAAGAACAAGAAAATTCAACACTTATTCAACTTCTTTCATACCAAAATGATAAGCTAGTTTCTTAATTAAAATAAAGTTACCAATACCAAAACTTACAAATGCACAACTGGAAAGGAACACAAAATGCTTAGAAGAAGCTTCATTGAATACTTACGATACAAATGTGATTGTGATAATCAAACCAATTCCGTATCTGCACAAAGCTGGAAGAAGTAACCAAAACAATTTGTAAAATGTACAACTGAGATGATATGCAATATCCATAAACTTAAAATGGGAGGACACGTACTGTGAGGCGTCTTTATCATTCTTAGCCAGATGTTCAAGAACATCAACTTCAACCATTGCTGCATCACGATATCTACAAATGCTTCTAACTACCTTAATTGCGACATAATCTCGATTTTGGCGGTCCCAACATTCCAAAACTCGGCCAAATGTGCCTACAACACTAGCACTTTTGGCTGAAATGTGCTACAACCAGAATCACAAAAAATAAAATATCTCACAGTAGAGTACTTTGACAGCTAACCTTCACCCATCTTACTAAGGATTTTATCTGTTAAAACATAATTACAACGATTATTGATAAAAAAAAGTGAATAATTGAAGTATTGTGTGGGTGGGGGGGGGAGAGATTGTGATCGAGTGGTAAATAATTATATAAATACTTTATTATTAATTGTGATCGTAACATAATATAATATAATATAATGATCGCATAATAATAATTTTTAATTTCATCATAATATTACAATCGTTTGATTCTAAAGTGATACCGATTAAGTTGGCTTCATGATCTTAAAGTGACACTGATATCAGACGTATGATTTTAAGTTAGAAGGTGAATTTTAACTTATAAAATTTCAAAAGGCGAACTTGAACTTATAAAATTTTAGGGGATGAAAATATATTTTCAATAGAAAATACATAAAAAAAATCTAAAATATATGATAATTTTATATTTTTAGGGAGACAATCGCCTCTGCTGAGGTACATCCAGGGGACTCCACAATTAATTGATGAAATATATTCATTTAGAGTGCAGATCAAAAGCAAAAGCTCCCTTGCTTTTCTCCTTGAAAACTTCCATGGTTTAAGACAGATTTCAATTTCCAACACTGATTTGAATTATAAACAGTGATTAATCCCTGCTTGGAGAATCTTTGGGAGATGAATACATAAAATCTATACTGAAAAGTGAAGGCATCAAAGTTCTGTCATCATGAAAAGGAATCCTTTTAAAAGTAGCTAACTACAAGGAATGTGTGATCATCTAGCCTATTCCCTGATTAGTTTTCTAGAATTGATGTCAGAAAATAATAATAGCTTATTTTGCTTGATTGACTTTAGTGCATAATTTAATGGCTGGAAATCAGCTACAAAGGGATCCACCACCATCAAAGATGGCTTGGCCCTGGCACTGCCAATGCCTTAAAAACAGATCTATTGTTTCATAGCTATTAAACACAGTAGTCTACAACTTCCATAGGCTATTAAGTTTCATTTTTCACTCACATGAATGCAGCGCATTACCGAGACGAGAAAGACCGAGAGAGATTATCCGGTTCGGCCCAACCGGTTCCTTGATCGAAGTTTCGTGAACACTCGTTCGGGTCATAAGAAGCCTGGAATCGAACAACAAAAGTGGAGATTTTCTTCCTAAACATTCTCCACTTCGGTTTCGAGCGATCATCTTGGCCGCGTTGCGTGTAGCTCCGGCCTAATTTGATTGTCTCTTTTCTGCTTGAGCTTTGCCCGTGTCATACATTGCTTTCCATGGCTAAGCTAGAAATGAATTTGGACCCTATTTTTTTTGGGGCATCAGACTCATGTTCTGGACTTGGGTGAACATGGGGCACCGAGGTTTATATAAAACGCTTGTAACGTGACTTCATAACATAAATAATAGGGTAAACTACATAAATGACCACCATTTTCAAATTTGTGACAGAAATACCACTGAACTATTTAAATGGATTCAAAATAGTCACATGACGTTAACGTTTAACAGAGGGTCTTACGTGGCAATTAAAAAATAGGTATAATTAGGGCGCGGTTCCTTGTAAAGTTTGGTCACTACTAGTATATGATTTGTTTCCTTGGATTTTCATTTAATCCAATTTGATCCCGATGTTGTTTTTAATTTGTCTAATGCCTTAATTTGGACATTAACTTTAAAATCTTTTATTCTAGTCATGTATTAAATTTATAGATTAAATCTCCTAAATTTCAGAATTAATCAATTTGATCACCAAAATTAACTTAATTCTTAACTTTTAATTAAGTTCTAATTTCAATTTAATTTAATAAATTTATTTCTCCAATCAAATTGTAACACATGCCACAATCTTATGATTATATATATATTGTCTGAAACAAAAAGATAAAGGATGGAGATTATGGGTTTTGACGGTAAAAAGGAAAAAAATTATTTTATTACGGATTAAAAAGTATTTATTTATTAATTATAAATTTTAATTAAGTTTAGATCGTTTATTTATTTATTTTGTTTCCCTTCTAGTTTTCAAGGTTTCGTCTTGATTAATTCGGACCGACTTGGGTCACACACCTAGCTTTGGTGGGTGAGTCTCCCAAAGTGGATTTCCTACGTATATAAGGACTCAAACTCGAAACATGCTTAAGCGATATCAAGTTGCTTAGCACTTAAATCAATCTCGTTGTTTTATTTATTTATTTTTTATTTATTTAAATCTAATGATTATAAAATAATATAAAATTAAAACTATCTCTATTATAAAGTTTAAATTTAGATTTGAAAATTTTATAAAAAAAAAGATTTGAAAAAAGAACACGGAGTAGATGAAGAATAACCATTATGTATGTCAAATCTATCTCATTAAATTAATTTGGCCCGCTTCTCTTAAATTCAAATATTCAATAATATCACACTGAAACTTACACTATCATTATAATAAAACAAAACCGAAATTTGCTTTCTTCACTTACCATTTCAACTCTCTCAAAATTTTCCTGCAAAATTTGCTTCTTTCCCTTTGCAAAACTCTCAAGGGTAGATCGAGGGATGGCGAACACGAGTGATTTAGAATCGACAGCGTTGTTATCGGATGAAAATGAAGGAAGAAGTTGGTGGGAGAATGTTTTCGATTTGGAAGAGGCTAAGAATCAAGTTTTGTTTTCACTCCCGATGATCCTAACCAATTGAGAATATGACAACCCTTAAATCACTAAAATAAATCTAATAATTTATTTATAATTGATTTAAGATTTTAATATTTTAAACTAAATTTATTGTTTTCATATTTATTTTTTAATGATTATATATATCAAATTATAATATATATATATATATATATATATATATATTACAATTAATGATAAAATGTATTATATTATATTATAGTTAATATTCAAATTATAATCATAAGATTGTGAAATGTGTCACAATTTGATTGGATAAATAAATTTATTAAACTAAATTGAAATTAGGACCTAATTAAAAATTAAGAATTAAAGTTAATCTTGGTGATCAAATTGATTAATTCTAAAATCTAGGGGATTTAATCTATAAATTTAATACATGACAAGAATAAAAGATTTTAAAATTAATTCCCAAATCAAGGCATTAGACAAATTAAACCAAAATCAGGATCATATTGAATTAAATGAAAATCCAAGGAAACAAATCATATACAAGTAGTGACCAAAATGAAAAAAAACAAAGTAGTGTGCCAGCACACGAATATGTAACTTAACAAGGACCCACGCCCTAATTATGCCAATTTTTTTAACTGACATGTAAACACCTATGTTAAATGTTAACGTCGTGTGGTTATTTTGAATTCATTTAAATAATTCAGTGATATTATTGTTACAAATTTAAAAGTGTTGGTCATTTCACAACCTGACTTATAGTTTCGTGGTTAATTGTGTAATTTACCATAAATAATACGTATTCATGATCCAGGTACAAATAAGTTCGTTCATTGGTGAAATTTGTTTGCAGCCAACTAACTTGGGTGCACAAACGGCTTAACATTCAATATTTTGTACGACAAGACTGCTTTAAATGACTACAGAACAGTTTTGACCAACTTAAGAATTGTTCAATGGAAAACTAAAATTTTAATTAATTTTTTATAAAAAAATATGATGACTTACTTTATCCTTCAACCCAATTGCAATAGGAACAAAGAAGGAAAATATAGTACCGGGGTCAATCTTTTCAACTGAAGGGAAAATTTGAGAAAATTTATGGAAATAATATTAGGCCTAAGGCTTGACCTTAAGTTTAAAGGTAATGTGGGCATAATTAAAGGTAGAAACTAGTAAGAGAGGCCCAAATTTTCCAGCCTAGAGAGTGGTACTTTGGTAAATAAATACAGGTAAATGTGAGAGGTGAAGATGAGCAATGGTATTTACCAAAATTAGAACCGATTCTTTTGCGCATAGGTATTTAAATAACACATTGCATTGCATTGCCAAAATTCACCAAGTTACATTAGCTAATAAGACGCTCCTAGCAAAACAGAGCTGAGTCTATTCAGAGGGAGGACTATTTGGTTTCTGTGACTGGTTAACAGTCCTCAACTTCTCGTAAGCATCAGAGCAGGCATAGGAATAGTCTGACATAGCACGGAAGAGTTCCGGCAGTCGGATTTTAAGACTTACCAACGATTTCTCTCTCACTTGAATGCAATGTTTTTCATGAGCTTCAACTTCCTCTTCCAGCCTCTTTTTCAAGCTCTCGACCACAAATTGCCTCTCGGATATAGCGTCATCCTTTGCATTTGCATCTGCATTTGCATCTTCACCCCTTTCTGCATCCGTTTCATCTGACCCAAATCGCCTTTGCTTATACTTGTGATACCATTCCTCGAATGCCTGGCTCTTTCTCAAAAATTCCTTCCGGGTTTCCTCGCACTTCTCTTTTAGTTTCATCTCTTCGTCTTGATGAATGATAATGGTTTTTATCACAGCAGCAAATGAAGAAATAGTGGATTTGGCTACCTCATCAGGAAGCTTTTCAAGACAATCATGCCACATATGAAGGAGTGTTTTGATAGGAGAATTCTGCGCTCGTGGAGGCGAGGAGACTTTCTCTTTCAAGTTGCTTTCGATAGGGATGAGATTCAACTTTAACCAGTTGTACAGAGATAGAATGTATTGCTTCTGATGAGTGACAAGCTTATCGAATTGTGAATGCCATTCTTGGATGACACTATGAAGTTGGATGGTCTGCTCGTGGTGGTGCTTCGTTGTTTCTTTGGAGACAAATGCAATGTCAAGAGATTTGAGCTTTTCAACAATCTTGAGCTGGCTATCATGATGTATGCACATCCTTGCCCACATGTTAGCCATCCTGCAAATTAGAATGTCAACTTTTATAGCCATTGTTGGATAGTGATAAGTCGGTTTCTTAGTTCAATACGTATGAGCAAACAAAAACAATTAGGTATAAGCTTATAAAGACAGATACCAACTGAAACAGAAAGCATAATCTCTCCATCAAATATATTATTAGCAGCAGAATTAGAAGCAATATATACAACTTTCTCGATATTTCCATATTAAAACTTACCCATCAACAAGCATAAAAAGTTTTGGATACAACTGCTCATCCCGTATTCGGTTAACTTCAGCCACTGTTGAATCCAGGGACTGCATGTCAACCATGTATCTCGTGTGTAAATGACTTACAGCTGCTTTTGTTCTTTCCAACGATTCAGTACCAGCTCTGTGTTTTTTCTGCTTGTTTAACGAAGCAAGCTTCCTTTTGTACTCGAGTTTCACCAACTCCCCTTCCTACAAACAGGACCAAATTTCATAAGATTCAGAAGAACATCAAAAACAAGAAAATAATATCATATCAATATTAAGATTAAGATAATCTATCATTCATGCCATACATTTTGTAGAAAGGTGCTTTACAATGGATTAAAAGAGGGAACTAGAGAAAGTTGCTTGTCAAGGAAGCAATAAAGACGGTCATGGCAAGTAGCAGGCCGTATAATTTTAACAGAGAAAACAATAAACTAGTTTAAAAAATGCACCTTCACTTCATCATAAAGTTTCTTCTCCCATGCTAACAACTTCTCCAGAATAGTGGCATGAGTCTCATAGTCTTCTGAATCAAATTCACCCTTCCCATTTTCACCGTCCGTCATACCTCTAACAGACCTATTCCATGTAATGACACGCATTACCCTTTCAGAATGATCAATATGTCCTACAATCAACAAGATCACAAAGACGATCAATATATGTCCACTATATAAAAACATTAAAGCATTTCCTTTTTCTCTTGGAACAGTTATTAAAGATATCTCATTAGAACGGCAATTACAAATAGTAATACAAGATTATAAAGCAAAATTCATAATCTTCACGAGCTGGATACACATATTCTCAAATCTCAAACCAATATATGACTGTTCTTCTTTTACTTGTTGGCTTTGCTTGCTTGGATGGAAAAAAATGAAAGGATGGGAGAAAGGGGTGGAAAATGAAAAGAAAATAAATATCGAGTATGGTTGGTAGGAAAGAAACTTGTGGGAAGGGTAAATGAGATCATTTTCCATCCTCATGTGTAAAAACAAATCATCCTAATTTGGTCAGCAAAGAGGAGATAAAATATGTGTTAGTTCAAAATATATGTATTTTTCAAAGTTCAATTTTATTCCCTCTCATTCTTCTCGACTCTACCAAGCAATTAATGGAAATAAAATTGTATTTTCTTTCAATTTCTCCATACTTCCAGCCAAGCACACCAATGGAAAGAGAAATTAGTTTTCCATCTTTCCACTTTTCTATCCTTTTAATTTTCCACCCTACTAATTTTATTTCCAGCTTGAAAGTGCATTTTTCAACTAATAACATGATGACTATTCACCCTTCCAAAATATTAGCAGTTTTTCATCTTTTCAATAGAAAGGAAAAGTAGAAAGATCTAAGGTCAAGGTCAGATTCTAGCGTGGAGCTAAAGGACAACAAGATCTAAATGTAAAGCCACCTTCCACCAAAAAGCCCACCAAATCACATTCAGAACTACAATTTCTTTTTCCAGATCTAAGCATGCCTCAAGCTTCAACCTTTCTCAGAAAATATGTTCACAAATCCTTGCTTTCATCAGACAAAAGCAAGTGCAATTATCAGTAGTGAAGGGGGGAAAACTCATTTTGCCACAGCCCAAACTTATTAGCAAATTAACAAGCATCTAAATAACTTAAAACCAAAGCAATACAGAAAAATCATGTAGATTACCTCGATTATCAGCAAAATTGGAATGATAATGCAACCTTGTTGCTTCCAGCAACTTAGAAACCTCATGAGCACTCTCTGAGGCTTTCAAGAAATGATCATCAATCTCATTCAAAACCTCCATTAAATTAACACCGGGATCAGCCTTCGCCATTCTCCTGAAATCTGCCGGAGCCGTTTTCGAATGCTCAATATGAACCTGTTGCTTCCCTTTATCATCATTAACCTCCAGGTCCTCCACTGCCATCTCCACCTTCTCGGGCCTTTCCGGCGTTTTTGGCTCAATCTCACTATCGAATCCGCCGGGGTCGCTAAGCCCCACTTTATTGACGTTGTTCTCTAAAGCATCGACATTTGTACTAGCAGCTTCGTTATTGCCGTCGTCCAAATCCAAGCTCGGACCCGGCCTGTTGTCGTCGACCATGAAGAAGTAATCCCAAGCTACGTTTTTAGCTTCGGGCATCGGCGGCGGCCGGTGGTCGACATTGTTGTTCTCAGGAGTCCTGGTGGGAGTTATCTCCTCCCGATGGGATTCTCTTGAGTCTTTTCTCAAATCTTCCTTATTATTATCATTATCGATTCCCTCGTTATGTTCTTCTTCATCTTCTTCATCATCTTCTTCGTCCTCTTCTTCTTCAATAGCGAGGGAAGCATCAAACTCCTTGCGACTCTTGACGGGCATCGCGGGCATACTAACGGTGCGTTTGATGGGGACGGGGCTAGGGGAGAAGTTCGGAAGCGGTGGCGGTGGAGGGAGATTGTCCATCATCGGAGGAGGTGGGGGCGGTTGAGGAGTAGAGTCAAGAGGAGCAGGGATCTGTGGAGGGTTTAGGAGAGGCACTTCAGCTTCTCCATGGCCATAGTCACTCAAGGCAGCTCCAGTGTTCTTCAAGGAAATGGCGTACCCAGAATGGGCAGCTGCAAAGGCGTTGCGAGCTACAACCGCTTCTTTCATTAAGCATTTGCGGTCCTTGCAACGAGCCACCGATTCTTCGTTATCTATTCTGGACTGAGCGCAACCCATTTAAAAAAAAGTAAACTTTTCAGTTCCCACCGACTTAGATATTGAACACCGAACCGGAAACGGTATTGGTTTTCAAACGGGTCAGGATTAGATTTATGGTTTGAAAACGGGACGGGTTATATTCGAGAGAAGACGAGAAGATACCTAGTGAAGGCAAGGCAGGATGCACAGTCTACAAAGCAGAGGGAGGGGACGAAAGAGAGAGAGAAGGGCCGGGTGGGAATCCCTCTGTACTCGCTCTAATTGATTACCGGGTGTCCTTTCCTCTCTCTCTCTCTCTCTATATATATATATATATATTTTTTTTTTTTCAAATAACGGTCAGATTTAAACAAACAGAAAGGAAGCTTTACGACGTCGTGCGTTCGTCTTGCTTGATTAATTTTTACCAGTTTTAAAACATACGATGTAACGAAAACACGTCTCAATAAATAAATTATCTGTCGTATAATAAATTTAGTATATTTATCTTTTAATTTATTTGAACGAATGCGATGCGAGTATACTTATTATTTTAATTTATCTAGAAATCTCACAGCTCTTGTAAATTATATGTTGGTTCATATTACGATGGGTAATAGTTTTGTTACGAATTTTGAATATTTATATTTTTAATTTAATTTATTAATCTATTTTTTCAATTCAATATTGCTCTATAGATTGCCTTTTTCTTCTATTGCTGGGGCTATACTATTAAGTATTAAGGGGTTCATGCAGCCTACAATAACAAGGATCGAGCACACTTTACATCAACTAGATGCTAACGGCAAGATGTCTTGTACTTGCATTTCACTATAAAAGCGGATCGTAAATAAAATCAAAATCCCCAACATCATTTTTTTCAAAGAAAACGACAAGCCACGCTCAAGTATCAAAATATATCAATTGTGAATAGTTTATAGGCATTAGGCAATAAAGTCGTATTGATTTTCTCTCTCCGCATCACGTTCAATGTCAAATTGTCTTATTAAAAGACTAACAAAATATAACCTTTAAAAAAGATTATTGTCAACATTCTACTGCATATTTGACACCGGTGAATTCGGTGGTAGGCACGTCAATAACATACGCATTAAAAACAACATTCCCTCTTGGATCACTAATTTACAAGCACCTTAAGAAAAATAACAAAGTTGTATACGATGACAAATACGCAACATCCCCATAGGCTTTACATATACAAGAGGATTTAACCATCATGCTAAAACTGAACTGCAAATCGTAATTACTTCTCTTTCCAAAATTTGCCGTGATTACCTAACAATCGCAGAGCTCAGGCATCCATTTTGCAAATTCCATCAGTTTTAACAATGCTTCACCTAGTTGAAGTGCATCGACAACACAGCTGGAACCAAGTTTCCCCACATCCAACAGCTTGACAACTGCAACATATTTTCCACAAGTATAAAAGTTCACAAAAGGGGAAAAATGTACTAAAAAACTTAAGAAAAGAAACCAGTATCATCAAAGAAGTTCCAAGACAACTCGTAATTTTTTTTTTTTTTTTTTTTTTTGCAAAAACAAGAGAATTAGGTAAGTAGGCAAATGGAATAGTCGTAGAGAGCATAGGGATATACTAAACAGAAAATTAGCACTTTAGCAGCCATATCATTTATAGACAGAATCACATTATGCTTAAAACAGGAAAGGGTAGTAGCTAGTGGGTTGTACTAACCAAAATTAGGGGAAGACAAAATCATCAGCGCTCATTTGGACTTAAAGTTGGCTTTCACTCTTTTTATCTCTTTCCATTGTTGCTAAAAAATTCAAAATACATTACTTGACACAAAGCAACAAAAGGTAGAAAAACATATAAAAAGAATGGTAAAAAACCTCATATAGATTTTTCCAGAACAGATCGGATGTTTCTGCCAGTAAGCACCATTCCATGGCCATATCATATTCAAGTGTGTTGGGTTGGGAACAATGTGAAGTAGATACCGCTTCTTTCTGTGAAAAAAAGGGGGAAATACCCAGCAACAAATTAACAGAAACAGAAAGAAAAAAAATAGAACCACGAAATAAAATCACATTTACTACATCCATGTGGCATAAGGAGTGATTAACCAAGCAAACATGCCAACACCAAACAGACAACTACAAGCTGAGAAAGACAGAGAGAGACAGAGAGAGAGAGAGAGAGAGGTACCATCTCCCGTAGGGATTTGAGCTTATCAACAATAAGATGACCCGCAAATATTAACTGCTTCCTGGAGAAGCAGGGATTTGGGATGCGAGCAACGAGTGGCCTACATGATAAGAAATAAAAGAAAATAAATGGTATCCTCAGAGCCCTTGGGGCCAGTTTCGCATGCTGCAAATTAATCAAAAGGTTATGAATAAGACAAAAATAAACGGACGAGCACAGAGCCCCAGACAAACAATAAGGTGAAAATGAGCTAAATGCATGATAAAAAGAGGGATAAGAGAAAGAGCTAATGAGGTCAAGACACTACAGAAAAAGAGATAATATGATCGAAAAAAACTAAAACTATATCTTTTAGTAAGACAAAAGGGAAAGCTGCTCACAAACACTTAGTTCATTAGAAAACAAGGCAAAACTGAATGTGAAAGCTGTGAAGAGAAACTTTCCATACACTGGTTCAAGAAGCATGAAACTAGGAATGGATTATAATAACATATGAACAGCACCACATATTGAAAATGATTGCACCGTACCTCTGATTTGGCAGCAACAAGCATCCCTTATTCAATTTTTTAATAACATCGTTTGCTACTTCCCTAGTATCGAATATAGCAAAAGCTTGACCTACAACATAAACAAAATATTTTCCTTAAATGCTCAACTTATCCACCGCAAGCTATATTTGAGGTAGCCTGCCTAAAAAGGCTGCTTTTAGTTTTATATTTTAAATATAGGTATATTGATGAACTATGTTAGGAAGCAAAAGCAAGTATATAGGACATGAAGATGATATTAAACAGACATGATATGACTTCAAAAATCATTTGAGACAAACACCAATAGAACAAAACACACAGGCCAGTGAGAATAATAGCAGAGTTATGTATCAGTAGCTCTAGCTATTCAAAGTATCAGATGATATTTCATATTATGTATGCAGCTTTTTGTTCCGTATTCAGATAATCCATATTACTTTTTTAGTTCCACGGGGAGGAAAACTGTTTCCCGTGAAAGTTCCATATAGAATATGTTTATACCAGAATGAGAGCTAGAATATGCAGTCCTCTGCACCACCTTTGCTCTGCAAGTTTTCTTGAAGGCAGTCCAAACTATATCCTTCATATTATGTATGCAGCTTTTTGTTCCGTATGCAGTCCTCTGCACCACCTTTGCTCTGCAAGTTTTCTTGAAGGCAGTCCAACTATATCCTGAAAATAATATATATTCTTCATAACAAAACAAAACGCTACGAACACAACATAATTTTTTATTCATAATAGATATTACCTCCACATCTGCTGAAGTGTAAGCTGGATCCAAATTTTGAAACAGAACAAGTTTCCCTTGCTCATGTGCATCTTGCATTCTTTCTTCCCAAGGCTGAAACAATATATGAGGCAAGTTTAAAGATTAGCTTGAAGATTCTAGACTAATTTTATGAAAGCAAAACAACATTCAAAGTAGGATGTGAAACTAATTTAAGCAATCACTTTAGAAGTGACGGAAGAATACTTACAATTTCACCAAACCAATTGCTCCTATCCTGTCGGTATGAAACAATAACTTGTAAGAAGTAAATATCCACCAGAATTTTTCACATCAGAGCAAACAACACAGGGATAACAGGGTAGTAAATTCACAATAGGTGGGAAAGCATAAAGAGGCAATCATGACTCTGTACATGATACAAGTAACGTCAGGAACCAAGTAGGAGAAACAAGCATACGAGACAACACTATTCTTTGATTACACGTTAAATAAATTGAAATTTTTAGGGCGTGTGATTTTATTTATTCATTTATTTTCAAAGGATTCAAGAGGAATAAATTAGACTCTAAATTGGTCAGGCAAGCCAAGAAAAGAAAGGTTTCAGAAGATTTATCTATCATCTATATAAAAATACAAGTACAACAAAGCCATTACTCAACAATAGAATTCCAAAACTAAAATTAGGCAAAATAACTGTCAGTTGCAAAGTAATCACATCTTTCTTATCAAATAATACCAACCCCATGCTTTGAGCTTAATGTGCATTATAACCCTGCGTCCTCTCAACATAATATCTCTAAAATGAAATTGATCAGGAGGGAAAAAAGAAAAGGCAACCCCAAATACCACTTACAGAATCAGGCATACGGGTAACTTCTACAGCTTTGTCACCAGTTCTTTTGCCATCATTCAGAGGCATTGATGGAGTTTTGCAGTTAGTAGGTTTTGTGAGTTTATCATCAATTTTCAGCTTATTGGAAGAGTTTTTGGCTGTCCGATGAGGATCTGTAGGATGTCTTGAACTTTCCTTGTCATTTGAGACCTTCACAGAACCATCAAGCTTTGCTTTCTTATATGGCCTCTCATCCAACTCACTCGTATCCTTGATGGATTTTAATTTTTCATCAACTTTGATTAGATTGGAATTACCCATCTTCTCAACAGAAGAGTTTGCATTTTCTTTAATGTTGCCTCTAAAACCTGTCTTATTACCATAAGTATTTTCCTGTCTGTCATCTCTTTTTGCCAAACCAACTGGGTCTGTAACTACACCAGAAACAGGCTTCTCTCTCAGGGAGATATTAGGTTTAACTGATGAAACTTTTACATCTGAATTCTCTTCAACTTTAAAACTTGAAGTAGTTTTGTAGTTAAAGCCATTCTCTTGTCTATCATTGGGAGTAAGATCCTCTGCAACCACAGGTTTCTGTTCTACTTGTCTATCATCTTCAGGAATTTGATTCTCAGATGAGTTTGGCTTAGACAAACTCACTCTTCCATTTGTTTCTATAGCATTTTCACTAGCATTTTTGTCATCCACGCTAAAGTTATGGACAGAAGAAGCCTTCAGAGAACCAGGTTGGTTAAAAATAAATTTAACTGCAACAAATTGAGAAATAGAAACAGGAATTTCAACAATAATACAACCAGCAACAAAATCACAATAGAAGAGAGGAATATATGACTCCAAAATAAATACCTTCAGTTCCAGCAATTTTTTCATCTATCCTATCGAAGATAGCGCACAGCCCAACATCAAAAGTACGGTAAAACACAAAGTCCGCCATTTGGATATCTCTGTCTGAAGGTTGTGGATTTCTGCCATCCTTTGAAATGCAAACTACATTGCATTTTCCACTAATTGCTTCCTGAATGTATGTTTAACACTTAAAAATTGAACCATATCTAACAAGATACTTACCTCAGACATAAACTGATAAACTATTCAAGTAACGTCTTTAATATCCTTAAGGCTAAAGTGAATTGAACATTTTTTTTATAAGAATTGGAGGCCTCGTTAAAAAACCCCTTCATAATCATCAACATACTAAACCGTATGTCAACGAAAATTGGAAGGAGGAAAAGAATACCTCATGATTTATTAACATTTTCAAGGATTATAAGAGATTTAGACCAAAACTATTCCACTTTATAGCCCACCACTGTCTCAAAAGTAAATAAGAGATAAGAACTCTTGGACACGTTCCATTCAACTGTTTTCTACTCATTTCATGCAAGGAATTTCCAAATGGCCTAATAGCTAAACAAAAAGGTGAAATTAACACTTCAATAATTAGATGAACAGAAAGCCCCTCAAATTATCATGTTAAATACTTCCTTAAATAAAAAGCAATAGAAAAAATAATACACCTGCTGTCAGTCACTACTAAAACTCACGAAATCAGATTGTGAATTACAAGTCACGGCACACATATAAACTATGACAGGTTCTGTCTAGAAAATGAAATATTAGAGCACTGATTTATTTATTTTTTTATAAAATCGCAATTACCAATGGATTAACGTTGACAAGGCCTTTTCCATCACCAGATCCTAAAATTATTTCATTCGGATGTGCCAATCCATCTACAAGATAATTTGAGACGTCGTCTGGTCGGAAAAACCATAAAACCTTCACTTTCTTTGATTTATCGGCAGTCTCCCATATTTTTATAAGTTTCCCAATATAAGGCAATAATGGTTCACCTTCCTTGTAGAGATAAACATTGTCATAAAGAGCATAATCAACACCATCAAAAGTAAATGATTCATAAAACTGAACATCTCTCTTTTTCCCACCCATTCCCCTTTTTTTACCCCACTTAAATTCAAGGTCCTCAGTTCCATCGACTTCTATCATACTCAAATAGCAGGCCTCCACTTAACCAGAAAAACAAAACCTATAAAAATTTAAGATAACGGCAGAAATATTCAACACACAAATCGAGCATTCCAACTCTATATTAACATGTTTTATTTAAAATATAACAAACAGTATCCATGATGAAATTTTCTCCCCAAAAATATTATTAATTACGAAAAATCATACGAGAAAAATAAAACACCAATAAGATTAGTTTAAAAACAAGAGTTGTGAAGGACCGCCAAGAAAACATTTTCTTACAGTAAAATATTTCAAGAAACTACATTCCGGGAAAACCAAAAGCCGCAAAAGAACCCTAAATTGATTCTTATAAACCAATGCCGTAGCTACTAAACTCTACAATAAACAGAAAGATTGCAGGGAAATTATCTTACTTTTTCAGAAGAAAGCGACAGTGAAGACTGATTGCCTGTACAATTTTTTTTCCTTTTTTAAAAACCCTAACCCTTAACCTCCCACCTTTGTCCCGCTTGACTTAACTCCTCCTTTAACCTCCCTCTTCTTATAATCTTTTAAAAAGAACAATAAATTCTTATAAAAAAAACAGAATAATAAATCAAATTTATGTGTGTTCGTGTGACGTATTTCTCCTTGGGTTCTCCTCGGCGTCTGGCAGTCTTTTTCGATAATAAATAAATAATCAAATATTCATCTATTAGTGCAATACCTTTCGAGAAAATAAGTTACTCTTTAATTGAGTTTTTTTAATAGTTTAATTAAATTAAATCAGTTTTAAATTAAGTAGTTGCTTTAGCGGATAATTATTTTCAAAATAAATTTTTTTATTAGTCAAAATAAAATTTTAAATAATCTAAATATGTATCCTACGATCTTATATATTTATGAAAATAATCTATTTGGATCTTATATGCATTTATATTAATTACCACTAATTTTGCAAATAAAATCATGTGCAATCAATGAATATTTGGAATAAATGCCTCTAAATAAAAAAAATCCTTTACTTATTTTTATATATAAATCCGATGAAGTCAATGAAATAAGATTTAAATGGAAATGAAACATTTCATATAACTATAAAATAATATAAAATCAAACTAAATAATCTACCAATTACACAAATAATTAATTAATTTAATCTTACTCATTTATTTATTCTTATTTAAACTTTTAATATATTTTTCATTTTATCAGTAGATAAAATTTCATTTATCTTCTTAGTATAAAAGCATAGTATTTTGTTATCCTTTCACCCCATTCATTTGTTTCCTCCTCTCTTTTTTTACCTGGTTTGAGTATTAAATCTCTTTAAACTGCTAAAGTAAATGTGTATATTCACCATTGAAACAAGCTTTTCAATCACATAACATTGATTATTACTTCGGTTTATTATAACAATCTTCTATCTCAACCTTTTAACTTTAAACTATAGTTCATATTTTAGATTTCTGAGACATATAAGAACAGTGATGGAGCCACAGTTTGGTGAGGACACGTCCACCCTGAAATTTAAATTTTTTATTAGTTATTTATTTTATTAATTATGTCCACTCTGAAAATTTTCGTGTCTATCCTGAAATTTAAGTTTTTGTTATTAGTTATTTATTTTACGAATGGTGTCCACCCTGAAATTTTATTTGTACTCATCTCATTTAAAAAATTTATATTGTTAAAGTATATGTGTCCATCCTGAAAAATATTTATGTATCCGTCACTGCAACATATGAAGAGTACAATTCTAAATGTTTTGGACATTAAATTTATAGGCTTCTATTTTAGACACAAAGGTTTCTGCAGTGCTGGTGCCAAAATTCGTCCCTTGTTCTTTTGATGTTGGTTTTGCTATATAAGCATCCTTCTTTGGTTCATGGCATTACAATCCTTGAGAAAATTCTTGTATGTGCATGTAGTGGAAAATGTAATAATTAGCTACCAAAACACAAACACATGATGTTCGAATAGATTTACCAGAAAAACATTGCGATACAATAAGTAATATCATTTTATCCATACTAAGAACATGATCCATGGATAGATTCTGCATGACTAAACTCGCGGGTTTGAGGTATTATTATTATACAACAAACTGGATATTGCTTTAAGCTATTTTAATGCACTCTGTACTTAGTAGATCAATGAAACTGAAGGGTCAGGATATTACTTAGGGACCCAAACAATGTGATCCTGAGGAAGGAAATGGCAGATAGGAACGGTTCCTGGCTCAACCTTAAGGACTTGAAAAGCCAAATGCTTTGGGTTCCATGCCGATGTATCTGTGTGGCAGACTGCTACTGCTTTGGCTTTTGTCCCGTCAGCACCCTTCAAAGGAACCATGTAAGCCCTTGTTGTTTCTGATTTATGGCAATAGAAGACGGCATATGCATAATTCTGCTTGTGGCACACTACAGTTTTCTCGCCTCCCATCCTCGCTACTCCAGCTGCTACTGTGTACTTCTGCTTTGGGGTTTGCTTTTCCACCTCCGTAGAGACCGCCTTATCAATTTTGCCTAGCTTGGAAGTGCTAAAGTCGATCATTGATTTAAGTGAGGTTGCACAATATTTGTCTTCTCCTCGAATCGATGGCTCTTCGCACTCCTTTATCGTGTTCTTCATCGTCTCTGCCTTTTCTGTTCCAGGCTTTACTGAAAATTTGGTGAGAATTTCTGGCAACTTGTTAGATGAAAATGGTATTGATTGGGATATTTGGTAAGGTAAGAAAGTTGATTTCTCTGTAGTTTCGGTGAAATGAAGGGTCATTGTTTCCCCGGGGTGCATATCCTTTTCCAAAAAGAAAAGTGCCACATTCGGGTCATCATGGATTTGATTCTCAGTGGCTGCATAATTGTATAAAAACGGTGAAACATTAACGTTTACTGGCTTTCCCTTGTGACCGGTGGATACAGATACTCCTCCGCCTTTACCTCCGACGTTGACATGAGTGCCATCTGCTGGCTTTCCTTTCCCAGTGTTCACTCCAACTCCTTTGCCGCCAACGTTCACATGGGTGCCACCCCCTTCCTTTCCTTTCCCGGTGTTCACATTCACTCCGCCCTTCCCTACGTTCACAACAGTACCCCCTGGCTTCCCTTTTCCTGTATTGAGGTTTACACCACCGCCACCAACATTCACAGAGGTACTTTTCTCCCCCAACGGCTCTGCAAATACACCAAAATGAATGCATCAGTTAGCATATTTGCTCATGTCCTATTCTTACGTTTTCCAGAATAAATTGCCAAACAGAACGTATTTGCTCATTCTCTTTCAATAAATCCTGAACACAACGCATTTTAAGCACTTCACATCCGATTATTAGGCTGCTTCCCAGATAACGTGATTGTAAAACAATCTTTAGGGTACTGAACACTCACCAGGATGTAGAATTTCTTGGACAACCTTTGGCATAGGAGTATTTGGCAGCTTATTGTTCCAATATTGCTCAGGTGAGGGAACAGTATGGCTTGCCACCACAGCAAGCTGCAAAAACAAACAACAAACAGGAAAAGTTAAGGTAAAAGGAAACACTCGTCAGTTATTTACACTCAACAACAAGCAATCACATGAAATCTAAAAACTTACTGCTAGTAACGCAAGAACCAACGAGAGAATCTTCATCGAGATCCGAGTAAATAATCTGAAAGTTAGTGTAGCGTGAATGGAATGAAAAGTAGGGCAACAATGCTCCACATTTATAGTGAGGGGTGAACTAGGAGCCTTAGGTCAAATAACACTCCCAGCGGTTTTTCTCAACAATAATGTCTCCAACTGCCGCTGGTTAACTTAAATATTTAAGTTATTGTAGGGCAACAATGCTCCACATTAATGCAGTATGTGTCATATGGGCTAAGGTGGATGAGCTTGCGGTTGCGGGTGGTGGTACGTGCATTCAAATTTGGTTTGCCAACATAATTGATTCGGCCATTCGTCACTTGGTTATGGCCCTCAATAGCAGCAACAGCTTCGGCAGTAATATGTTTTAATTCCCTTGAACTTTTATGAGATTTTATTAAAACTAACAACTACTCAATTTATGAGGATTTAGTATGAGTTATTTTCAGATAATTCCATGATTAACAGGGTTTTGCCCATTCAACATGTGCCGCTAAAACTACGAATACAACGTATAATGTAATGAGTTGAGCATTTTTTTTGCCTTTTTTTCCTATGCTTACGTTACGTTCAATAATGGTTGGACCCAGGATGATCGAGACGATTTCTCATATAATTTAGATATTTATATTTATTGATGTAAATAAACGGAGCGTTCGGTGAACTGTTTGTGAACCATTCGTGTAACGTTCGTTTATGTTTGTTTGTTAAGCTAAATAAACGAGTATGAACAAAAAAATTTTATGTTCATTTAATAAACGAACGAACACGAGAAAAGGTGTGTTCGACTCATTTATGAGCTCATTTATCTACTCTCTCATTTATTTTATGAACAAGCTCATTTATCCGGTTCTCCTTTCTTTTTATTTTGTTACATTTTAAATATTGGTGAAGATAGGGATTAAATTGTACCCATGGTATAAATTGAAATTTAAACTGTGAATTTTAAGGAGTTTAAGCACTAATGACATAATTTTATCATTTTCTTTATCTTGCAAATAAAAGAGTAAAACTAAAAGTTGAATATAAATTAACTCTAAACGAATGTGTTCGTGCATATTAAATAAACACGTTCGTGAACGCTAAATGAACATGTTTGTGAATATATAAACAAACATGTTCACAAATAATAAATAAATGAACACGAACAATTTTAAAAAAAATAAACATGAACACATTTAAAAATAAATAAAAGAATATGAACATAACCTTGTTCGTTCTTAGTTCACTTACATCCGTATTTATTTTTTATTTTTTATTGATAATTTATTTTTACATCCTCCTAAAAATTTATAGTATCACCCTAGCGTAAAAAATTGTCTGTCTTACATTTACTTCGGGGTCATTTAGATACAACCTTGGAAGAATGAAATGAGTTAGGATTAAATACGGGAAGGATAAAGTTGCTTAACTTCAAAAGAATAGGGATCTGTTAAGAATTTAGACCAAAAAATAAATGAAATAAGGCTTAATTTGATCAATACTTGAAGTAATAAGACTGAAGTGAGTTAGTTTCATGCATGCGTGGAAGGCAACCAGGCATGTTATTAGTTATTATTCACTCCATCACAATTATTCTTAAAAAAATAACTTTAGATATTTTAAAATCATTTTATTAATATTTTTAAAATATTATTTTGTATTTATATAATAGAAAATAGAATTAAAAACTAACTATTAAAAAATAATATATAACAAATTTAGTCGAATGAATACAATATTATTTTATTCAAGAAAGATATATTATTAGATGACATACTATAGGAACCAAGGATTTGAATTTCATGAATTATTAGTACAGTTCAAGGAAAGCTATATGAAAACGAAAGAATTTATGTGAAAATAGACCTGCACGCTATGTTCTTAAACAGATTGTGTAAACATGTAATTTAATATTTGTTAAAAATGGCAAAATCGTAAAAATGAGTATGATGACTCGTCTATTAATAAGTATAGCAAGTGATACGTTATAAGATCCTAAAATCTAAATATTTTACACTTCAGGTAAAAGATTTATGTTGACATAGGAAAAATTATTTTCCCTTAATAAGATGTAACAAAAAGAAATCTAATTTTCTCTCTTATTATTTCAACAATTCAATTATAATCAATTCTTCATAAAAAATCACTAAATTTATGGTGTTTAATGGACAATTTTTTTTATTTATTTTGATAATAGTTTTATTTTTTTAAGTTTAATATTTTATGATTATATCTTATTATAATATATTTTAAGGAATTTATTTTAATTGTGCAGTACACGTCCACATATTTTTTTGAGATGGGCATGGTGTATGATATATATATTATCGTTCATAAGAATATAATATATATTAAACATTTATTATTAATTATATTAATCTTATTTAAATGTGTTGTATCATATTTATTAAATCAACTTTTATGTTTACGAAAGTATGCACAAATTTAGAAAGTCATGGGAGCAAGATGAGAACCCCTTTATACATTATATTACTTTGAATATTGTAAAAGAGTCGAAGATTGTATATACTTCTGTTAATAAATATGTCCCACCACCAGATGAAAAACCGTACGCCGCCCTTGCACTATTAAACCATACACTTGTTTTAACATTGGAGTCAGAAGATGGAGGTTATTAGATTCTAGAAGTCATTTTTCGACCGTATTTTCTTCTTCCAGGCCTAGCCCTAGCCCTAGCCCTAATCCTTTACCCTGATCTACATAGTCAGAACTCAGAAGTTGGGGTTCTTTTCAAGATTATGTTTTTTTTGGCCTGGCAAACTGATAAATTATTTGGATAGAGAAAAATGGATAGGTGGAAGTTTATTTTTTGATTTACGATATTTGTTATAGTATTTAAAATACTTGTACTGTAGAGGTAATGAGTTTAAAAAAAATATTTTTTATTTAAATTCCTCACGTTAATATGATGAATTTCAAATAAAATATATTTTTTTATTAAATTTTATCACATTAAAATAAAAAATTAAAATAAAAAATATTTTTTATTGAAATTCATCACTTTCACGTGACGAGTTTCAAGTTATTATAACAAATGTATTATATCTTTAAATAATTTATATATATCCTATTAGACTAATTATTTAAATTGTTTGCACTATTGGGCCAAAAAACCATCCACTGCTTACCTAAATTCGTCTTTACGTAGAACTCAGATTGGGCTTCAATCCAATAAACCCAAAGAAGTTTCTAGGGTTTTTTGGCTCATTACGGGTTTTAGGTTTTTTATTTAGCCTATTAAGGCATCTCGATTTTTATTTTAGAGGATACGGAAAATGCTACAGTGAAACTGAAACTCGTCATCTCGAGGTGACGAATTCTAATAAAATATAATTTTTTATTAAAATTTATCACATCTAGCTTAAAAAATTGAATAAAATTGTATTTTTTATTCAAACTTTTCACCTCGACCATGCATTATAGAAAATGTCGTAGATCCCAAAATAAAAATGTATGTGACATATTTTACAATTTTTTTCTGGGCTTCCCTATTGGGCCAAAAAACAGATTCTAGTTTAGCTTTAAGCTCAAAAAGTATTACTTTATTTGTCCGACTAAATGTTTATATTATTGACTTTTAAAAAGTCAATAATTTTAAACTTTAACCATGATTATTTTAAATATTTTAAATAATAAAATTTTATAAAAATATATATTTGAAAACTACTTGATTTAAGGTTTTTAAAATATATTTTTTTACATTTTTATCAATAATAAATTTTAAATAATAACGAGCCAAAATTTTAAAAATTAACTAAAAAAAGTTAACAGTTGACAAATTTAATGGGACGGAGTGAATACATATTTTAGTTTTAGTTGTTGTACCCATGCTTCACGTGGTGGAAAAGATTTATAAAAATACATCTTATGAAATAAGAAAAAATTATAAAATATTTGATGAAAATATATTTCACATGATAGGAATAGTTTAAGAAGACAAATCTTATCCGATAAAAAATCTATAAAAATTTGAAGCGTCTAATTAAATATATATTCAAATTGAGATTTGAGTTAAATGCCAAAAAGGTTATTACTAGTATTTCAGGAAAATTTGTTTATATTAATCGCAGAATAAGCTTTAGAAAATGTAAAGTTGTAGCCTTTTAGGGTAGTTTGAACCAATTCATGTGTCAGGATAGTGGTGGGCTATGGCCACATTATACATGCATGTAAGCGAACTATTGTGATACAATAAGTAATACTATCATTTTATCCGTTACTAAAAACATAAACCGTGGATAGATTCTGCATACCTAAACTCGTGGGTTTGAGGTATAATTAGTGTACAACGAACTGGATATTGCTTTAAGCTATATTAATGCACTCTGTGCTTAGTTGATTGATGAAACTGAAGGGTCTGACTCTTCAGGATTTTACTTGGGGACCCAAACAATGTGATCTTGAGGAAGGAAATGACAGATAGGAACGGTTCCTGGCTCAACCTTAAGGACTTGAAAAGCCAAATGCTTTGGGTTCCATGCCGATGTATCTGTGTGGCAGACTGCTACTGCTTTGGCTTTTGTCCCGTCAGCACCCTTCAAAGGAACCATGTAAGCCCTTGTTGTATCTGATTTATGGCAATAGAAGACGGCATATGCATATTTCTGCTTGTGGCACACTACTTTTTTCTCGCCTCCCATCCTCTCTACTCCGACTGCTACTGGTACTTCTGCTTTGGGGTTTGCTTTTCCACCTCTGTAGAGACCGCCTTATCAATTTTGCCTAGCTTGGAAGTGGTGAAGTCGATCATTGATTCAAGTGAGGTGGCACAATATTTTTCTTCTCCTCGAATCGATGGCTCTTCGCACTCCTTGATTGTATTCTTCATCGTCTCTGCCTTTTCAGTTCCAGGTTTTACTGAAAATTTGGTGAGAATTTCTGGCAACTTGTTAGATGAAAATGGTATTGATTGGGATATTTGGTAAGGTAAGAAAGTTGATTTCTCTGTAGTTTCGGTGAAATGAAGGGTCATTGTTTCCCCGGGGTGCATATCCTTTTCCAAAAAGAAAAGTGCCACATTCGGGTCATCATGGATTTGATTCTCAGTGGCTGCATAAT